TGAGTCAAAACAACCTGCATTGTAAAACAGGTCATTAGATGAATGAAAGGCATTAATAATTGCATAATTAAATCTATAAACTGTGTCACATGAAAAAGCGGATCAACCTTTTCCTGTAAATCTGTTCAGAATCGTCCAGAGATGCTGCAGATCGAACCGCTCCGCAGCCTTCTGCAGGACAAATGGCAGAGATTCGCCTCCAAGCTGTTCCTCCTGAACTTCTTGTCTTATTTGCTGTACCTGGCCGTCTTCACCACGGCAGCGTTCTACAGAAAAGACGGACAGGTGAGGCAGAAGCAGGGATTCAGCTGAATGATCCGCGGAGTCGTAGCGGACAAACTGTTTGTGTTTTTCCTCTCAGCCGCCGTTCCCAGTGGAAAACGTCCCGGCGGATCACCTCCGCTGCCTCGGTGAGATCATCAGTGTCCTGGGAGCAGCCAGGTTTCTCTACAAAACTGTACGGAAACAGAAAGAAGCCAAATGTATCTCATAACTCTGGGTCGGCTGCAGTAACGCGGCTTATTTTGAAATGTGTAGATAACCATTTTCAGGAGGAACCCCCCAAACATCAGCTCTCTGTTTACTGACGGATTCACTGAAATTCTGTTGTGAGTATCATCACTTTCTCTCCTCTAAACCAAACATACCAGACTGTGGATTTTCTGACAATTAATCGATTAATTGGATAAAAAAATTGGCACATTCTGCTGATTACATGTATCCACTTATCCACTAACTCTAATTGCTTTTTTCTAAGAAAAAAAAAGACAATTTATTGCCTAAAATACAACAACAAAGCATTTATTTAATAAACACTTGATAATTTGTAGCGAAGGATGAATAAATATGAGAAAACACAGAACATGCGTAAAGTTTAGGCTGATATTTTGGGATCAACTGATTAATAGCAAAAGGTGCTTAATAGGAGATTTTTATTGATTTTTTTTACAGATTAAACTAAAACTGCAGAAAATGTTTTTTTTTTATCTTAAATGCAAAATATTTATTTCTTGGCCAGGATTTACTTAATTCTTGCTCTTAGCGAGTCATTTTTTCAGCAAAAGTCCTTTTTGGAGTCTCCATATAATGATTAATTGATTACTAAATTAGTTGATTAGTTCAATAATTGATTAATCACAATTAATATGATTGTCTCAGTTATGCTTTCCAGAAATCAGAAAAGCAAAATGAACATCCTCCTAATAACTCGGTAATCCGATAAGAGTCTCCAGTCACAGATCTGCTGGTGGTTCATGTTTTTGTTTTTCTTCCTGCCTGATACCGTCCTCCATGTTTGTAGTTTTCTGCAGGCTCTTCCTGTCCTCCATGTTTGTAGTTTTCTGCAGGCTCTTCCTGTCCTCCATGTTTGTAGTTTTCTGCAGGCGGCCCTGCTGCTGCTGTGTGCGGTCTTGTACTGCTGCGGGCGGACAGAATACGTCGGGCTCCTCGTCTTGTCTCTGGCTCTCGCCTGGATGAATGTTTTATATTACACACGAGGCTCCAGGCAGCTGGGGATCTACAACGTCATGATGCAGAGAGTAAGAGCTTAGCAGCGGCTCAGTGGTTACGGCAGGCAGTTTTAACATTTAATCAGTTCATACGAATGTCTGTAATTACTGTAGAAATCTAAAACTACATTTGTGCTATTTCAAATGATAATTTAACAAGCCAAAGTTCCAGATATCTCTAAGTTATTTTATTTATTTTTTGCTTTCAAGATATCTGCACTAGTCAAATCTTATACATCTCCTGACTAAAATGCATGTAATATATCTTTAATTGTTCATTAGAATTATGACCGGTCAGAACAAAAGGTCAGATATCTTAAATTTACTTTACAACTAGTCATAATTTAACTCTTATCTAAAATATACGTATCAGATAGTTTCAGTCAGTAATTCAGTCAGTCAAAATATAAGTAGAGATATCTTAACTTACTAATGTTATAAACCAGTTTCAGACATCTGGAAAGTAACTGATTTTATGCTAAAACAGCCTGCCATACAGTAGCTACGTTTCCACTACAAATGTGAGCAAAACTTTATTGATATTCCACTAATGTCAAAAAACACTAATTTGTAATTCCATTAAAACAGAATTAAAATGACATGAGAATAAGTTTGTTCACGCTATAAGTAACTGAAAAACACGCAGCACCTTCGTCCTGCAACCACTTCCTGTCGTCTTCTTTGTCATTTCTGCCAGTAGTAACATCTGGTTGTTGATCATGTGACTTGTTTGATGCAAAAAAGTGTTACCTTTTCAGCTTTGTGAAAAATACAATTATGATACAACAAAAAAATAAAATAAAATAAAAACTCACCAGTCTTAGAGCCAAAACCTTTTTAAATCAAAAAACAAGTTTTTGTTTAAATTGGTGTTTCTAGTTTGCAAATTTATTTTGGAAATGTGAAATTATGTGGTGAATGGAGACGCAGGCAGTGCGAACACAGTCTGCTCCTCTTCAGATGATCCTGGGCGACCTTCTGCACTTCTTATGCGTCTACATCGTCCTGCTGTTTGGATTTTCTGCCGGTAATATTTCTAAACGCAAAAAATTCAACACAGCGACTCATTCGGTTTGGACTCCTAACCTGCAGTCGACGTTTCCTCTGCAGCCGTCTGCACCCTCATCGACGACTCACCTGGAGGGAGTCCGACCAACGACTCGGTCCCACGACAAAGGAGTTTTAACGTCGAAACGTTCAAATGCGAGAAGCCGAGCTACAACGACATCGGCTTCACCACGCTGGAACTGTTCAAGTTCACCATCGGGATGGGAGACCTGGAGTTCACCGACCACGTCCAGAACCAGACGGTCTTCTACGTCCTGCTCATCTGCTACATCGTCCTCACCTACATCCTGATGCTCAACATGCTCATCGCCCTGATGGGGAACACGGTGGAGAGAATCAAGGAGCAAAGCCAAACCATCTGGAACCTGCAGGTGGAAGATTCACCCGCAAATTCCTGTCCAAACGATTAGCTGTGTGATTTCAGCAACATCTGTGTTTTAGGGCCGTGGAAATTGAAAAGGAGTAAATGTGCGCCAAAAAAACTTGGAAACTTTGAGATTGATCTCAGAAATGTTTGGAGAAATATGGAAACTTCTGAGTTTCAAAAGTCAAAATAATAATAATAAAAAAAAACCACTTCATTTTTTCAAAAAACTTGAAATTTGTCAGTTTGAAAGGTGAAAATTTTAAGATTCTCAGAAATGTTCTAGAAAAAACTCAGAAATTTCTTAGTGTGAAAAGTAGAAAATAATTTTTGAAAAATCTCAGAAATTTTCTTGAAAAAAAAAACACGTTAAGTTGTGAGTGTGATGAGTTTCTAGCAAGAGTTTGCTAGAAAAAAAAAATCTAATTTTGAAATTAATTTCATAAATTTTGTATAAAGAACATTTGAGTTTCAAAAGTCACACATTTTAAGCTTTTTGGAAAGTTTAGTTTTTCTGGTAAATGTTCAGCTTTTCAAACTGAACATTTTTTCCTTTCTTCTATAAAAATCTCAAAATTTCTGTGGATTTTTGGTAGAAATTTACTCCTTCTTTTTTGTGTATGCAATTTTCCTAATTCGTAGTTAGCATAACAGCTAACTATGAAAATGTGTAACATGCAAGCAAACCTTTTAAAACAGAACAGATGGAAAGAGAAATCGGTCACCTGCGTGAATCAGTTGGAGAAACCGTTTTGTTGTGGTTTCCCAGAGAGCGTTCACCATCCTGGACATGGAGAGGACTCTGCCGCGGTGGCTGAGGACGAAGCTGCAGTCCGGCGTGTCAGAGATGGTCTGCGTCAGGAACGACCAGGACGACGCGCGGAGATTCGTCAGGTGAATGTTGCTGGATTTGTCTGGACCAGTCAGTAAAATAAAAACAACACACAGTAGAAGTGGCGCCTCCTGCACAACCAACAGAAATGCAGCAAGTGGTTCCTGGATGGTAAATCAACAGCAAAACTCTTGTCTTTTCCAGCAGCCATTGTACAGCTCATGCAGTGGTGAAACCAGCCAACCAAACCTGCTGGAGCTCAGCTGTGGTTGCTAGGTAACAGGCTGGGGTTGGCTGTGGTTGCTAGGTAACAGCGCGTGCTTGCTGATTTGTGACGTTGCCTTCAGAGGTTTTTGAAACGGCTCATTTTCCACCGTTTCATTGTGACAGTAAGTCGGGTCAAAAACATCCACCGCATTTTTTCCCCTTAAAAACAGATTTGGATGCCGTCATGAATCAAACTTTCTCCAATAAAGTTCCTGTTTAAGTTGCTGGAAATAAAGCAACTTTTTCAAAACCAACAAAATATAAAGCTTTCAACAAATACAAGGGAAATGTCAGCGACGTTTTGGGATTCATAGTAATTTGTTCTTTTCTCTTTGTTCTATTAAAATGTTGAATGTTTAAATTTATCGCTAAGCAGGTAAAAAAAAGTTTCACAGTAAGATTATTTTGCATTTTAGGTTATTTGACCATCATGGTGATTTTATCTTATCTAGTATCAGTAAGTATTTCCACATGAGATTTTCTCTGGCGTTTCGTCTCTTTCAGAGTGACGGAAATAAACTGGAAGAAATGGCGATCGGATGTCGGCGTTAAGCTGAAGGAAGAACCTGCAGGTCAGCTGACGACCGCACGAACCGAGGAGGAAACTTCTGGTAAAACATCTGGTGTTCCTTCACTGCTGTTTCCTGTGGCTTGAAATTTACTAACATGTACAAACTGACTGTTCAGGGAATCCGTGGAACATAAATGTGCTTCTCCAGAGGATTCGCTCCAGACGACAGGAAGACAGCTACGTTCTCTAACTCAAACTCTGATTTTTATTTCTTAAACACATTTCTCATAACTCAACATAATTCGTCCTTGTCTTAAGAAACTTTATTACAGGCGCATTTCATCACATCTTTTAAAAAAAATGAATGTATTTCCAGAAAATTTCAAGCTAATATCTTGTAAAACTGAATGTGTTTCTGTTTATTTAAACATCAACTGTGAAGGTGATCATGATGCCAAGTTAAAACATTTAAACGACACGACGCTACGCATGTGGAAGGAAAGCTTTTCTACTGACGGTTAAATATGATTTGATTTTATTAAATCATGTTTAGTTTGGAGGTTTAACAGAAGTCCGTGTTTATATCTAGTGAAAAACATTCACTGCTGGACGTCTAAAAGATAAACTTAAAGCAGATAAAACATAAACTCTGACTTAGGCTGCATGAAGTCGGTTTGAAGAATCTAAAGTTTTTCACAATAAAAGTCACTAATAAAAGCTTTGTGTTTACAGTCTGGGTTATTTGTTAATTTAATTTATGTGCAAATTATTTCACTTTATTTTCTTAATGAAAGGCAAAGCTGGAAAATCAGATTTGCTTTGGTAAAAAGTGAGAGAGGGTGGAGTAGAGCCGTGGTGGATGGAAGCTTTTGCTAATTTTAAGATTAACCCCCAAAAATTCCAGAAAAAACAAATTTCTGAGTTTGAAGTTGAAATTTTGATAGAAAAGACCAAGAAATTTTCTAGAAAAAAAATTGTATCAAAAGTGAAAAATTTTACATTTGAAAATCAAATTTGGAGGATTTTTTTTTTTTGAAAATTTGAAATTTTTGTCAGAAATGTACAATCTTAGCAAATTTTTGACTTTCCAAAAACATTTTTTTAATGTCAGAAATTAATCTCAGAATTTGCTATTGAGATCAAACTTGCATCTTAAAGTGTAAAGAGTTAATTTCAGAATAATTTACAAAAATGATCAAATTACAATGTGAATTTTGTAATTCTCTGTCTGGCTGTAAATCTCAAAGTGTTAAAAAAATTTGGTCGATAAGCGCTGGAGGACTTAGAGAAACAAACATCACAAAAGCAAGGCCTTGTTTCCATGGTTACACATCTTAACTGTCTGAAGGTAAAAGAAGGTTCTGAACAGCTTCCAGAACCAGAGGGAATAATTATCCAAACCTGCAGCCAAACCCGGACCGAAAACTTTACGAATGAAAGTCTGGAAATAGAAATCAAACATGGCGCCACCTTCTGGTCCAAACGCACAGAATCTGGAAATGTTCATAAAAAAGACGCACCAATCGCCAACACTTTGTGTTTGCAAACTTTATTTTGGTTAGGGGGGGAATGTTTGTGCAAGACATTTGAGTTCCTGAAGGTTAGGCAAAACTGGAAATATCACATTTTCACACAGTAGAGACAGAAAGCCCCTCCACCAGCGGTCAGAACATTTGGTTCTCACAACCCAAACAGCTGGATCAGAGCAATAAGAAACCTAGAGTGACTGCTGGGATCCTCTGGCCCCCTTCACCAGGATGTGCTTCAGTAGACGAGTCTTTGAGTGCAAACAGTCGTGTACCGAGCTCCCTCTGGACCTCGAGCAGAACCAGGAAACACAAAGCTCTGGTTCAGCGGTGGTTCTGGCAAACCTGACCAATTAAAACCCAGGAAATGATTCCTGATATGCACAAACCAGGTGAAGTAACGTCCGCAATTTCCACAATCCAAAAGCAACACAATAAATGTTTAGACAACAAATTGCATCCATTAGTTCCAATAAATCTGACACCCCCTTTCAAATGTAGCCCTGGGCATCCGCCAAAACGACCCATTCACTCTAGATTTTCTTATGCTCAGTTCACATCTTTGATTTTTACTTCACAAGATTCTCTGAAACCAACAGAACAAAGGCAGCAGCAGATCTTCTTTACGTCACCAGATTGTTTCTTATTACTGTTAGAAGACCAAGCTAGCTGCTAGATGTTAGCACAGACTGCTAGGATGGACTAGTAGCATCTAGCTGCCGCTCTTGTCCATATTAGTAGCTTGTCCATAGTAGCAGCTAACTGCTAACCACTAGTGGCTAGCTGCTTCTCTTGTCCATCGTAGTAGCTACTAGCCACTTTGCTTGTCCATACTAGTAGCAGCTAACCTCTTACCGCTAGTGGCTAGCTGCTTCTCTTGTGCATACTAGCAGCTACTAGCCGCTGTTTCTTTTGTCCACACTAGTACTAGTAGTTTGTCCATTCTAGTAGCAGCTAATCGCTAAATACTAGTGGCTAGCTGCTTCTCTTATCCACACTAGTAGCTATTAGCTGCTACTTGTCCATTTAAGTACTAGTAGCCGATCCATACTAGCAGTTAGCCGCTAGCTGCTGGCCGCTCAGAGAGAGAGGGACACCTGGTCACTTTGGTCGGTGAGTCAGCAGCAGTCGGTTGACGCCCCACAGTGTCGACGGGTCGTGGCACGCTTCCGGACTTCGGTCCGTCACACAGTATCAGTAGTTACAATAAGTAGCTTGGTCCCCCCCAGAAACACACACCCATTAGATTCACTTTGTGCACACCTGTGCAGGTACCCACACACACACACACTCACACACACACTTGTCCATACTAAGCCCAGTGGAGGCACTTCATATGAAACTGTAGAACCTGACTTCAACGGGCTGCACTGAGGCGGTTCAGAACCAGAGGCGGCTCGGTCCGACGGGTTAGTGTTTGGGCTCGTCTGATTGGCTGTTGGGGGGGAAAACCCAGACGTGAAACTTAATTCTGGTTAGTGTGGCGGGTTCAACGCCTCCGAGTGTCCGCTCACCCGACCGGAGCGGATTTCTCCCCTCCACTGGTGCAGCCCAAATCATGTTACCATTTATAGACACACACCGGATCAGTGTGCTGATTAAATTCAAAAGCAGCTTAAAGGGACAGGCACATCAAAAACGAAAGATAGGGAAGCAGAAATGAACTCATGTCAAGTATAAAGACCCTGAACCTGACTCCCGGTCGCTTCGCTCCTGCACCAGAAACACGAGGAATTAACAAAATATGAAATTATACGGGACATTTTCTGCAATTTTTTGATTAAATCTCCACAAAGTTTTTAACAACCAGCAGAAATATATGAACCAGCTGGACTGAAAAAAACAACTAAATCTCAAACATTTTTGGTCTAATTTGGAGCAAATATCTCCGTACATTTGAAGCTAACGAAAACTTTTCAGGAATATTGGAGCTTGTTTTACTTAAATAACTCTTAATTATTTATAAAAATTCGACGAAGTTTTAGAGTCAGGCTATGAGAAAAAAGTTAGAAAAACAAGGAAAAACGTTGTAGTGTTCTGAGAATTACATCAAAATTAAGAGATTCAAATTTACAACAGCACAAACAGTACAAGAATCAGAATTCGAGAACTCATTACGAGAAAAATAAGTCGTAATGCTAGGAGAATAAAGTCTTAAGACAAAAAGTTATAATATAAAGAGAAATTATAATACAAGAATAGTAATATTACTATAATAAAGTCCTATATGATACTAAAAGCTGAGAAAAAGTAATAATGAGATTAATTACATATTATTACCAGAATAAAATCATAAAACTCAAAACAATAAAGTTGAAATAATATGAAGGTAAACTGATGATATCTATACAGATTAAAGTTTTAATATTAGTAGAATCAAATAATTTAGAACTTGCACCAAGAAAATTAGGAAAACATTAGGAATGTTGAGCATCTTGTGAAGTTATACTTTGGTATCAGTTTTACAGATAAAAACTTCTAACCAATTACCAGCAGCAGGACTTTGGCAAACAGTAGTATTTGTATGTTTCTGGTAATTTTATGACTTTATTCTGGTGATTTTGTAGTAAAAAAAAAAACTCTTTCAATCTGTCCCAATAAATCACAGAAAATGTCTTGTTATAAGTAAAAAAAAATAAAAATCTGCCAGTGAATATTTTTAAATTGTTATTTAAGAATCACTGGCTTAAAACCAGCTCCTATATTTGTTGAAAAGTTATTAGTTTCAGTTCATCTGAAGACATTTGCAGTAGAAACTCGACTAAAAAACAGAGATATTTTGTTTTTGTTTACAGAGTGAATCCGGTGAAAGAGCGAACCGACCCAGATCCAAAACTCACCATCTGACTTTTTACGATAATAATTCAGCTTTCGTAATAATTCAGGCCTCCGAGTTCATCCAGGTGAAACCGCCTGAGTCACATTTGGCCCCTGAAGTGGAAACGGCTATGGCTTCAGGACAGAGAAGTACAAACATTTAGAAGGATTTCGGAATCCCAACCGAAACATTTAAAACGACTGCTACTGCGCCGCTCCAGATCTCTGTCCACTTTACTGAACGATAGAAAAACCCCCCAGATGTCAGAGGGACGGGAGTTTCACTGACGGCTCCATCTCGGGCAACGTCGTCCAATCAGAAACCAGAATCCGGCTTTTCGTTACCATGACGACGGCAGCGCACCGATCCCAAAGCTAACCGTCGTATTTAAGGCTTTAGTCGTTGTGCAGCATCACTCTGTAGGCATGGGCAGCGGCATCAGGGCTTTAACTAGGCCAGCTTCTGAAACTGCTAAAACTTTCTGCCAGTCAGTTTGCTTAAAGAAAGGTGACAACATTTCTTATCAGTTACAACAGAAAAATTAAAAAATTAATAGCTTCTGTCAAAATATCTAAAGTATTAGATATATCTAAATATATCTAAAGTATTCACGGGCCGAGAAAATAAAAATAAATTCCTTTTTTTTCATCAAAGATCCAAAACAGAATAAGGATTTTCCTGGATTAAGTCTAGTTTTTGAATTCTTCTGGCTTTGATTGAACAAATTTATTCTCAGGATTTGGATAATTTTCCTTCAAAACATTTTAATTAAATAAAAGCTGATTTAAGAAAATAAAGTCTGGATAGATGTGGTTCTACTTATTATAAAAAGATGGATACTTTGTGTTGTACTGAACATTGTTTTTATGATGTCGGTAATAATTTTACCCTGATTAAAAATAAAATTACCATCTGGATCAATTATTTCTGATGGACGAGTCAAATCTGTATTGATCTTGAATTGCAGTTGGGGGCCACAAATGGCCCAGGGCCACACTTTGGACACCCCTGACCTAAATCATCAGTCGACTGTGCAGCTAAGACTGTTGGTGTCAATACTCTTCCCATCCAAAGGAGGCGCCAAATAAGAAAAATGACGACTCAGAAAACCAACAATGTTTTTTAGAAATACAGCGAGAAAAGTTCTGCTGTTCACCCTAAAATTAACAAGGAACTGTTAATTTTGGTCAGAAGTGTTAGTTTTTTCCAGCTCATTGTCGCCCCCTATGAGGCTGGAGGAGAAACTGCATTTCTGAGTCAAACGCTGCGGTTGACCTGAGCTAAAATAGTCAGAACATGGACAGAATGAGGCTGAAATTCCTCAGTTTGGAGGAAGTTCTGATTGTGAAACTGGAAAACTAGCCAACAATTATCTAAACGTGTGAAA